ACAAAAACAAGCAATGGGGAAAGGATTCCCTGTTTAATAAATGGTGTTGGGAAAACTGGCTAGCTATGTGCAGAAAGCTGAAACTGGACCCTTTCACCTTACACAAAAATTAACTCCAGATGGATTAAAGATTTAAACATAAGAATTAACACCATAAAAACCCTAGAAGAAAACCTAGGCAATACCATTCAGGACACAGGCATAGGCAGGAACTTCATGACTAAAACACCAAAAGCAATGGCAACAAAAGCCAAAATAGACAAATGGGATCTAATTAAACTTAAGAGCTTCTGCACAGCAAAAGAAACAATCATTAGAGTGAACCAGCAACCAACAGAATGGGAAAAAAATTTTGCAAGATACCTATCTGACAAAGCACTAATATCCAGAATCTACAAAGAACTAAAACAAATTTACAAGAAAAAAACAACTCCATCAAAAAGTGGGCAAAGGATATGAACAGACACTTTTCAAAAGAAGACATTTTTGCAGCCAACAAACGTTTGATATGAAAAAATGCTCATCATCACTAGTCATTAGAGAAATACAAATCAAAACCACATTGAGATATCACCTCAAGCCAGTTAGAATGGTGAACATTAAAAAATCTGGAGACAACAGATGCTAGAGAGGATGTGGAGAAATAGGAATGCTTCTACACTGTTGGTGGGAGTGTAAAGTAGTTCAACCATTATGGAAGACAGTGTGGTAATTCCTGAAGGATCTAGAAATAGAAATATCATTTGATCCAGCAATTCCATTACTGGGTATATACCCAAAGGATTATAAATCATTCTGTTATAAAGACACATGGACATGTATGTTAACTGTGGCACTGTTTACAATAGCAAAGACTTGGAACCAACCCAAATGCTCATCAATGATAGACTGGATAAAGAAAATGTGGCACATACACACCATGGAATACTATGCAGCCACAAAAAAGGATGAGTTTATGTGCCTACAGGGAACATCATTCTCAGCAAACGGACCACAAGAACAGAAAACCAAATACTGCATGTTTTCACTCATAAGTGGATGTTGAACAATGAGAACACATGGACAAAGGGAAGGGAATATCACACACTGGGGCATATTGGGGGTAGGGGTTGGGGGTTAGGTGAGGGATAGCAGGGGTGGGGAACTGGGGAGGGATAACATTAGGAGAAATACCTAATGTAGGTGACAAGGGGATGGATGTAGCAAACCAACATGGGATATGTATACTTATGTAACAATCCTCACAATCTGCACATGTACCCCAGAACTTAAAGTATAATAATAATAAAAAAGTTTTTATCTGGAAAAGCCTCCACTGTGGGCTACTACATTTAAAATCTGTTTAATGATGAATTTTCCTTTTTATATCCCATATAAAGAGGATGTGTTTAATATAATTCTTGCTTACTGTCATTTAAGCTCTTCATTTTATACATAAACTAAGTCCAGTGGTAGTAAATGACTTGCCTAAGGTCAAGAACCCCAAGGATCCTAGCAAAATGTTATAATTCTAAGATATTCTAAAAATAATATACTTAAAGCCACTGATCTAAAATATTGATTTATTTCTCAAGGAATACTACTCTGATGTTCTGCAGAATATTAGCAGATATTGGAAAATTGGGATTCTTTGGTTAAATAAGTTTATAAATGTTGGGTTAAACAAAGACTCTTAAAGTCTTTAACATATCAGTGAACTTTATGAACTTCCAAGAGGAGAAATACAGTAGACAATTGGTTTTGCAAACTTATTTGACCACAGATACCACCTTCCACCCATAGAATGTAGCATACAACTGATGAGAAATACTCTCTTAAGTTGTTTTCTAGATTCTTGTCTTGCTTCCTAAGAATTTATCATCACAATGCCACCAGAAGGATTTTTCTAAAATCCATCCTCATTATGTAGCCCCTCAGCTTATATCCTTTCAACAGCTTCCTTCTGCCAGCCTGGTCAAGCCCACTCTTTGGCGTGGCATAATTATCCTCCATTACCTGTACAGATCAGCTCTTACCTTATCTGGAACTTTATACTCCCACATTGTGGTTTAAATCCTCTTTTCATCCCTACACACCTGAGAGATACCACAAACTCATATTCATTAATAGTGGGGTGGGGCATGGCAATGAGTTCCTTAAAAGGAATCTGAGTCCCCAGTGGTCTCTGGGTATAGGAGAAATGGATACAGGAGAGGTCATTTCTCTGTTTTTTTTTTTTTTTGTGTTGTTGTTTTTTTTTTTATTTTTTTTTTTTTTTTTTGAGATGGAATCTTGCTTTTTTGCCCAGGCTGGAGTACAATGTCATGTTCTTGATACACTGCAACCTCCGCCTCCTGGGTTCAAGCGATTCTCCTGCCTCAGCCTCCCAAGTAGCTGGGATTATAAGCATGTGCCACCATGCCTGGCTAATTTTTGTATTTTTAGTAGAAGTGGGGTTTCACCATGTTGGCCAGGCTGGTCTCAAACTCTTGAACTCAGGTGATCCACCTGCCTCAGTCTCCCAAAGTGCTGGGATTACAGGCATGAGCCACTAGGCCCAGCCTGTTTTTCTCATTTTTAAAACATATAGTCAAAAATTTT